ATCAAAGGCCTTTGAAAGATCAAGAAAGACACCCAAAGAAATACATCCATTATCAAAGGAATCTATTATTCTCTGAACAAAATCAAGAACTGCCAAAGTTGTATTTCGTTTTTTCCTAAAACCAAATTGATAATCAAACAAAAGGTGATTACACTCTAAATGATTTGTTAAACTTTCACATACAATTTTTTCAAAAATTTTTGAAAATGTCGGAAGTAACGTTATCGGTCAAAAATTAGATATTAAATCTTGATCACCATTTTTGAACAAAGGAATAACTTTAGCAATTTTCATTTCTTCATTGAATGTATTAGTCATTATAGATGTATTATAAATAAAAGAAAGTGGCTGACAAATGAATTCAGCACCTTTTTTTACGTATCTAATAGGTATTCCAGCAATACCAACAGCTTTCTGCTGGTCAAGACTATATAGTTTGTCCAGAACTATAAGATGAGAAATAATTGGCAAGCTGAGATTTGTAGCACAGCTTGGTATTTTCAGCCAATTTTTGTAGTTAGTTTGACAGTTACTAAACTTTTTAGCAAGAGAAGGTCCTACATTTGTGAAATAGGTATTAAATACATTGGCAATATCAAGAGACTTAGTACAACGTTTATTATTATAAACTATAGATGAAATACCTTTTGGTTGTGATTTTTTGTTGTTTAAGATTTCATTAATTGCCTTCCAAGTAGATCTTATGTTACCTTGTGCATTTTCCAATAATGATTTATAATATTCTGTTTTTGTAAATCGAATTAGATGATTTAGCCTATTACGATAATTACGGAACCTAGATATGTTCTTGGGAGTTGGATTCTTCAGTTTAGTTCTATACATCTTATTTTTCCTTTTTATTGATTTAATGATACCTGACGCTATCAAGGGATGAATTAAAGTATTAGAGTTGATACGAACTGTTTTTAACGGAAAGTGTTTATCATATAATTTGGTAACAGTTTCGATTAAATGTTTATATTGTATATTAACATTCTTGCTGTTATATATGATTGACCAATCAGCTGAAGATATATCCTGAACGAAATCTTCTTYGGCCGATTTTGAAAAGATTCGCTTAGTTATATTTTTGTGATAATTCTTAGCTTTAGAGCCATATTGAAGGAGGAACACAGGTAGATGATCAGATATACCTGTGTATAAGATACCAGGATGAGTGGTATCAACACTGTCAAGTGCATTTAAATAAATATTGTCTATTAAAGTGGCAGAAGCATCCGTTATTCTAGTTGGCCTCATAATTGAAGGAAAAAACAAGTATGATAACATATTATTAAAGAATGAAGAAGTTTCTTCGTATCTGATTTCAAAAGATCGATATTAAAATCACCTGCAATGTAGCATTTGTTACTTTTTTGTAAACCGTCTAGTAAGCTTGAGAGATATTTAGAGTAGGTATCTATATTTGTATTTGGCGGTTTATAAGTCACGCCAACAGTGATTTTTTCGTTATTACTTTCTAAATCGACAAATATTTTGAGTTTCATCACTGTTATAACTAACGTCATCGCGAGCCTTAACTATGTAACTGTTTTTAATGTACAGGGCAATGCCGCCACCTTTGGCATTTGGCCTGKTTAGGAAAACCGGAGTATGGTAGTTAGATAAGCTGAAGGAAGTAAGATCGTCATTATTTCCCAGCCATGTCTCAGATAGAGCTATTACGTCGAATTCAAAATCAAGAGAAGAAAGATAGCATTTAAGATCATCGAAATGTTTTCTTAAACTTCTTATGTTAAAATGTATCATAGAGAAATTAATACTTTTGCTTGTTAGTTTTTGAAAGCTGTCTTCAGTGTAATACTTACATTTGTTAGTCATTTCATCAATTTTGTTAAAGACTCGTTCATCCGGATCACAAAAATTATCAAGGAAATTAGCTTTGGATTTTGCGATATTATTGTCATCTCTAAARGGATGAAAAGAAAGYGTRCAGAGGCGATCAAGCGATGAACTTGACCCATTTTGCAATTCAAACAGCAGTATTAAATTCATCATCATTTAGATGCATAAAAGGCAGGGCGTTCATGACACATTTTTGACATAAGAAACTGTCAACAAAACAATCAACTTCATTAGCCAACGAAGTCTTTTTTAAACACTTAAAGTGGGAGAAGCAACAACAATACGAGCATTGGACAACTATAGA